GAGGAGACGTTCTTGAGAATGGCGAGCGTGGTGGTGTTGCCGCTCTCCTCGTTTATTTTTTTGCTCCTTGTCATTATACTATGCCGCGGCGTCGACTTACGACCTGAAACGAAACGAGACGGTACAGAACGTTGCGATACGTCCTCCGGGTGAGCAGTTAATATGGTTCGCGTTAAAATAACCCCAAAGCGTTAAAGAAAAACAATTTGTGTAACGAAACGAAAATATATTTAGAAAAAAAGTAAGAAAAAAAATAATGCACATAGCTTGAGCATAATGCAACAAAACTTAAAAAAATCAACTTAACAAATACGTAACTTTTTCATATAAATTTTGAGATCATGATTGTTTTTTAAATCAATTTTTTCAACAAAAGAACGTTTAACATGTCTAAACTTAGTTGTTATAACAATCCATGTTTGCATGTTACGAGCGAGACCATGATTGATTAGTCACAGTGACGAAAATAATATAAAGAAAATAAAATAAAAGGGAAAATGAGGAAAGAAGAAAGCGTAAATGATTAGGGAGGGCGGTGCGGCTGGTGCGGCTGGTGCGGCTGGTGCTTGTGCTGCAGGTGGAAGACGAGCGTCTTCTTCTGCGAGTAGCGCTTGCCGCAGAGCTCGCAGGCGAACTGCGGGCCCGTGTTGCACTCGTACTTCTCGTGGCGCAGTCTGTTGCGCTTGTACTTGTAGTGCCGCTTGTTGCAAATCGAGCACACATATTTCTTGTCCTGCTCTCCCCCTTGACGCTCCGCAGCCGTCTTCTTCTTTCGGCCCCGCTTCGAGATCTGTTTTACGACAACCGTTATATCCTTCTTCATCTTTCTAAGGCTACCTTCTTTTTTGCCAATCCTCTTGGACGATTTGAAACTCAGCTTCTTTTCCTGTTTAACTTTGATCTTTCTTTCCGTTTTAATTTCGAGAGTTTGATAGATTTGACGATTGGGACTTTTTTCTTTTTTAAGATAGCTGCGAGTGATTGGAATGGATGTTTTGGCGTATTTGAGTTCGCATTTTATGACGGATGATTCTGCAAGGGCAAAACAACGACAAGCGATAGTGAAATTATTAAAAGCATGGACATGTTAGCAATAGACATTGTTATGGTGCAAGACGCGGCGCCGCAACGCTCTCTCGCTCTCCGAGCGAGGCTCGCCGCTCACATGAATTTTAGTCAAGTTTGGAACAGTAGGTAAACTATTATTTAAATAGAGGCATAAGCAGACGTTAAGATTTAGGCCATGCGGGCAAAAAGAGGAAAAAGGAAATGTTATAAGAGATTATTTTCTTTTTATTATTCTATCTGTGCTAATCATATGCATCACTGTTTTGCGGCTTTATGCCCCTACTTTTTCGATTCGCTACTCAATTGGCCAATACTCATAGTTCCTGGTAAACAAAACAATAAATGAAATGCGCATATTTTTTGGTAAATGCATTTTAGAATGATTGAATGTGTCATGCCGTTCCAATGTCGATTTACAACGTGCCTTTGCCTGACCTAACTGAACATGCACACATCGATAAAACGAGTGAAGTTACCCTATTGAAACATGAATTGCTAGGGAAACAAAAAATCTGCAGTGAAATCACATGTGAATGCAAAAAAAATATAAAAAAAGATAATAAAAATAATAAATAAATAAGCCACATAACCAGAAACTACTACGGAAAAGTGTAAATGATTGAGGTTTACCTGTCGCTGGGTGCGAGCGCCGACATCTCGGTGAGCAGTGCGCGGGGCGCGGAGCGCGGGGCGCGGGGCGACCGAGGCGCCGAGGCTGGCGCGAGCGGCGCCTGACAAACGATACACAGCCCGAGCGCGTACGTCGACCGAAAACTAATCGTGTACTAGATGGAATGGTGCGCGTTAAACTTTCTAGCGGCTACTAAAATAAACAATACATGTATACACGTGTGTCGTCACCTCGGATGTTACTTACCGAAACAAATGTTTCACATCACCCGGTTAAGTACAAAAGATAGTGTTAAGAATTAGCCACAGTCCGGTTAATGTTGTTAGGATGCGATGTGCATGCAATGTCTACAGTTACAAAGGCGACACGGCGATAAGGAAATGTCACTTACCTCGCCCGAGCGGTTACCTCGCCTTAAACAAAGGCTACATTAAAAAACAACCATTCTACCGTTTACCATTACCTGCCGCTCTGAAATACTCATCGATATATATGTGAAAAAGATATACATTTGCAATAATATTAGTTAGTTTATAATATTAATATTAGATACTAATTAAGATAAGGTTTGTAGTTCACATGTGAAAACACTAGCACTCTCGTATCCGCTGTCGTGACATATGTTTTATATATTATAACATTATAAATACAATATTCTTAAAGCAATGGCCTGTGGTCTTATTTCAAATTATGGGAAGACATTGCGCATTTCATCCGTTCCTTGTACGACAGGGACGGTCAACTTTTCCTTAAAATTCAATACAAAATACATTAAATAACATTTAAAGTTAAGTAGAAGTTGACCGTCCCGGACTAACAATCTCGAGTGCCATTGGAACATGTCGCGTTGACGGGTAGCGTGGCAACGCAACATGTCGGTGAGGGCGTGGCCGGGGGCGGGGGCGGGGGCGGCTCGCGCTTACCTTGCGACTCCCGGATGCTGTCGTTAGAGTTCATCAGTTCATCTTGAGATCGTTCCATGTGCCATTGGAAATCTGCAAGGAAATACAATTGCTATTGTAGCCACTCGCACACTCTCTATACAAAATGAGTAGATTTACTATACAATACTTTTTTGTAAAAGGTCCTTTGTATATCTTTTTGTTGCAGTAAACGGTGATATGATAAGTCTGGTAATAATACAAAAGGTTGTAATATTTACATTAGCTTACATTCCAAGCATTATAAAAGTATTTACAAGCACAGTAGATTATTTACTAAGATTTAAATTATACTTACAAAATGATAACTACTTTTAGAAAGACATGTAGATGGGATAAACATAACATTCTTACTCTGATATTATATGGATTCTAAAGCTGTGGGAATTAATTGCTAGCCTAGATAGGATAAGCTAGCTTATTCTAGTGTGTTCGGTGTGTATTCTAATCTCTGTGTTCTAGTTGAGGGTATATTTCTTGAGCACCAACATTTCTCAGACTATGGTTCTAGTATCGACACAATGATAATGGTGTGGAGCAAAATGATGGTGAGCCATTATACAACATGTTACAAACACTTCACCACCGCCATGTTGCATTGTTATTTAAGAGCTATGTACAAAAGTATATTTTGGATAATTTAGCCAATAGACTTTTTAACAAGGAAATTAATTCAGATTTTTTTGGTAGTCTCCTTTTCATAGCTTTAGTGTTTGCATCAAGATAGTCAGTTAGTGTGAGTTAAGGGACGGGCAGTGAGTGTAGCAAGAGAAAGCGGTACTGACTGCGCACGACGTCGTTGTGTTGCGGGGTCTGGTCGTGTTCCTCGTCGATGGTGAGGTCCTCGACAGTGTCGCGCGAGGGCGGCGCCTCCTCGGAGGGCGGCGGGTCGCTGCAGGGCTCCGCGTCCAGCGAGCGGCGCGCCACCTTGCGGCGCCGGCTCGGCGACAGCGAGCCCGCGCGCCGCTCCGCGCTGCCCGACCGGCCCTGCAATGCCGCACCGCTAATTGCACTACACTACCACTAACTACTCTCATAAACATCGTCTATTTTTATAATTTGCAATAGCTTTCCTCTCGACTTCGTCTGCGCAGAATTAAATAAAAATAGCGAAAATATCTCATGTGTCATTAGTGTGTCAATAAATTGTCTTGAACTAATGCACATAGAAAACATGGATCAAATGTATCCCAGGGGAATCACATATTTTCAGGACCATAGGTGTTGACCATGTTCTATGATGTTTTAGACTGGTTTCTACATCTGTACCAAATTTCATTGAGAATTGTTAAGTTGTTTTGGATATACTTAGTAACAAACTTCCGTCTATCTTAACAAATTATTTTACAAAATGCAATGTTTTGAAGTAGTTGCAATGTATAATTTTAAAATTTTCCATCACTTCAAACATAATGGAATTTGATAAAGCTGTCTGCGGTGTCAGCAAAAAGAACAATACTCCTTACACTGTAACCTGAGCGTCTAATATATAATATGCATGACAACACACAGCCTTGGTATTTTCTTATACGTTGTACAATGTAATATGAATACATTCTATGAAACTCATACTAAATGTATCCAATATTCATAAGAAAAAATTGCAGTTACTACCCAAATAATGACAGTAATGCTTGTCACATGCATTAAGATTTGTATGTATGACAATCCCATTGTAAAATATAACATATTCAGCTACACTGACTTTTTCTCGGAGAAACATAGGACGAGACCATTGTGTTTATTTATTGATTTAAGACAAGGTTGAAAAAATTAGACACACCTGGGATCCGAAAAATATTATAACTCTTCTAAACTGTAACATTTATAATTGTTAGGATGAAATTATCAAGAATGTGACGGGGTAAAGAGAGGTTAAGTTATGTTAGCCAAATTGATATTTGTTTATAGGGAACAAACATTTAGAGGTCAAATTCATAATGCATAATATTTTTTCATGCTAAACAAAAAAATGTAGATTTGAAAACAAGTGATGTATAAATTAATATCTTATGTTATTGTTAAACTTTGATCTTATATTTGTAAATAAAAAACAGTTATTATGATTACTATCGAAAATTTAAGTAAAATTGTATTGCAACAAAGAAATAGGATATATATAAATGAATAGTTATTTTAAAGAAGAGTACTTTTTGAATAACTTTAAAAACATGACTTAATAGTTTTAGGATGTCAACCTAACTTACAACTTAATTATAACCTTGATGTTATGATATGATTTGAAGAGTACATTGCTTATTAACACTTTGTACACAATGAAAACAATTTACAACAAATACATATTTAATGTTGGTTGTACAGTCGAGCATAACTCTAAAAAAGTTATCTTACTGCTAACCATGCAATACAGATTAGATGTTTAGCATTGCTGTTATTATAACATTTATAAATCTGTGTCTGAGATTCTTCTCACATCTTTGAATAGACAAGCTGTAAAACTATTAAAAAAATAACGAAATAAAAAGACTCATTTGGATTAAATTAAATTTGAAATATCCAGTTGAAAGGTAGTTGCAATAATTTAGGAAATATCCTAAACAAATTTCAAATGTATCATGTAAAATTTGACAAGGTAGGTATGGAAAAATGTTTGAATACCTTTTTTTATTAAATGCATTGCACGAGGACAAAATACATGTTTTGCTGAACCTACTGTTATACAATTGCAATTTTAGATTGTTTAAATTTCAATTATGCATGTCTGACTTATGAAATACTAGCTTTTGCCCGAGGCTTCATCCACGTGGAATAAAAAAGTGGTTAGTCGAATGAGTTCTTCCAGACTATGTTCTGCATTTGTGAAAAATATCATTGAAATAGACCTGTTTTTGAGATACCTTTCTAACAAACATACATCCGTCATAACTTTCACATTTATTACACTAAGAAGTAAATTGTAGTCAGTAGAACAGGCTATGTTTCTCTTTCTCATAAGTGTAGTTAAGACAAATAAGAAGTATGTGTGTACCTGAGGCGGTGGCGAGGGAGCACGGGGCGGGTGTGCAGGGGCGGCTTGCGCGGGGCGCGACGGTGGCCGGGAGGGCTTGTTATCTGAGAGACCCTTAATCTGTAAGGACTCTGCCGCTTTTAACAGTGCAGCCAACTGGTCCTGTGATATGTTCACTTCACCGCGGTACATGTAATCCATCATTGCTCTCAACTCCGCATATTTGACATCTTTTAGAATGATTATTGGATGCTTGTCATACTGTTGGGATAGCACATTCTGTAACAAAACATTAGTGTTGTATTCACATGCACTTTGTTTACTTTCGCAAACAATACACATTTGTAAATAGTATTAGAGTGAATAGTAACAATGTCAATTTATATTTTGAACTTTGAAATGAAATGTTTGAATTTAGAATGATGTTTAAAGTAATTAATAACACATTAACTTAACATTTGCGTAACATATTTAGTTAAACGCGTTCAATTTGACGCTCGATATAGTAATTGAGCATTTGGAAAAGTGGTAGAGACAACTTTCTGTTGCATAGATGAGTTGGCATCAATATAATACTAATTGCTAACATATGAAAGCTATCGCGCGAATGGAATGTTTATTAGAGCAAAACTGTGCCTTGCCAGTAAGCTAAACACGATAGCAATTGACCTACATCGCGCTAAACCACTTAACAATACCGACCTCGAAATAGGGACTGCATGCGGACAGCACCACTTTGTGCGCCTTTAGCGTCTGTCCTTCCGCAGCCAGGGTGCAGTCCACGTGAATGCCTTTCTCCAACAGTGTGTCGAACACGGAGACCAGAGTAGACTGGTGGTTGTTCCACCGCAGACAGAACTGCTGATCGTCATCCATGTTTCCGCCTCGCCACTCGTCGCGCCCGCAACCCTACAATGCCAAACTGTTTAGTCAACACTAATTCCAAACACCACACGCAATAATTAGGCCATTGCGAAAACTTATTTTCAACAAACAAACAAACCATTGAATACGATTATCAATCTCACTAAACCAATTTATCTCACCGATTCACTTCATACGATGAGATCACGCCTCAACTTAACTAAATTAACTTTATGGACCACATACGACTTGTCGTAAGCGACGCGGCACAAAGAAAATGGCCGCTTTTCCAGCGCGACAAAAAATAAAATGGCGACGAAAATTCTAAGTTTTACTATTTTCTGACCAAGTTTTCAGGATACGCATAGCAAATTCAAGTTCACTGTGTATATACAACCGTACAAACTTTGAAAAAGTTTCTAGTTAACAAAGGAACTTCGCAGAAACTTTACTTTTAAAAGTTCACGAATGGAAATTTTCAAGATGAAAAGTCGTAGTAAGTAAGCACTTATCACGATGTCACATTGTAATATCTAAAACACTTACCTTTACTATATCATCAACTAACTCCTAAAATAGAAACACTAAAAGTTGTTTAACATAAATTTGCAACACTTTCGTTTAGTATTTTAACACTTTTGCACACCCGCCAGCTTTCTCGGTAGAATGAAAATACTAAACTATGCTATGTTGCAAGTTTAGTGAAGCGAAAGGCACCTCTATAAAAATCCAAACGAAGTAGGTACAAGTTGGAAGCGAGCAACAGAGTGACCCAAAATAAGCTCGCTTAATGTTGCCATTAGAATACTCACAAAAAGCTTGAAAACATATCAAGTTGTTAGAGATTAAGTGTAATTTATGGTGTATAAACCGTAAAATAATATCGCAAATTATTTGCTACAGTGAAATATAAACTATTTTTCGTTTACTGGTAAAGTTCTAAATACAAATTGTCTATAACAAAACAAGTGGTGTATCCTTGACCTAGTTTAATGACAGAAGACTCGTGATGAGTTTAATTCTAATTTACATTCGTCTTTTATTCAGAATACATTTTATGTCTTTAATTTTGAGACAAGTACTGTAATCATTTCATAAATAAACCGATAAAATACTGGTATTACACTTGTAAAATAATATTTAAATGTAAATAGACATTCAACGCCATCTGTACGACCAGTAAAGAAATACTATGTAATGTCAGTTTTACTTATTGTACATTTCATTATGGCATGTTATGTTAATTACTGCATTTAGATTTTATGAAATGTTAGAATGATGCTAACCTTAATTAATCTGTTAAAAATATTGTGTTATTATACTTAGTAAAAAAAAACGTACGCCTTACGAAGAGCAGAACCATTTGATTTAAAATGTAAAAGTAGTTGGTCCCATACTTATAATTATAATGTTTTGTTTATAATAAATAACGTTTTTTTAATACTTTCCTTTTTTACTCGGTTCCTAAGAGTATTGAAATTTGATGCTAAATAGCCTGCCCTCTAAACGAGGGTACTTGCCTAGGCTAGATCGCGCCTAAACTATAAGTATGCAAGTGTTACAGCTGTAATAGTAAAAATTTCAACAGGGATGTCAGAAAATTTCATATGAGAATTAACCATATTTTTCTCGATTGTTTATAACAATAACACATTGTCGTATTATAAACTATAATAATACGTTCTTCGACGTTGTATTTCTTTTGACTATAAGGAGATAGCCTCTAACACCCCTTCATACCCTGCGGTATGTTAACGATTCATATACTTATATTTTTTCACTTTGACTTTGGTGTTTACTTTCATTACTGTTTCCTTCGATAGGGATGGTTATATGGCCTTTGGGTTATCTTGACTTACATTTAAGAAGTACATTTCGCTCACTACATATGGAGAAGGAAACTATCAAGAGAGTTACAAGAAATGAGTTAGTCTACAATGATACGCAATAAGTGCACATGACCTTGTCTAGAATCATGAGTAGGAAGCGAGTATGTTCGTTATCGCATCAAGTAGACATTATTAATAGTTAAATGCTTGTTTGTAATCTGTGTCTGTGTTCATAAATATATTTAATGTTAGTTGCCAAGAACTTTCGGACTTGTTTTAAAATGCTTTAAAAGCGCGTTCACAGTCGTAACTTACAAATAGCATTCGCGAGTTCGGGAATGAGTATTACAAGACAACTGCACAAATGTAAACACCGAGATTGTGATATTGCGATCCCCGGCCGGATGTGCCGTCTCCCGGCGGCTCCGCTCTGCCACTTCGTTATAAAAATCAATAGCATTAGTGAGTTCGTACAAACGAATTATACAACTGTAGCTGTGTGCGAGCCCGCCCGCCGCCGCCTCCTGGCGTGCGGAAACAAAAAAACCATGAGAGAAATTCTTGTAATAAAAATCAATCGGAGCGGAGAGAAGGCGCCACGGAGGGCGCCCCCGACCGCCTGCCCCGCACGGCCCTCCCTTCTTCTCAATTGTTATTGACGACTAATGCAACTACCCTCCCTAAGTAATTAAAGTTGTTATTTTTACGGCACAACTTATTTGAATTTTACTACAGTCTAACATCTTAAAGTTTTCCTGACTTATGAATTTAGTCGGAATAAGATTGGTAGAGGAATGTAATAATAATGCGAGCGGGGGCGCCGGGAGCGGCGCGGCGGGCGGAGGGCAGACGGCGCGCTCGGCCGGTTCCCGGCAAAAAGGCGTTTGTTTTTATTTCTTTGGCACGGAAAAAAGAAGGAGCACGCGCCC